ATAGCTATCAAGTGTGACAATACTAGTTCTATTTGTCTAACTAAAAATCCCATCCAACACTCTAGAACTAAGCACATTGAAATTAGACTTCATTTGATTAGAGATCATGTCACAAAAGGAGATATAATTATAGAATATGTTGATACTTTGCATCAATTAGCGGATATTTTTACAAAACCTTTAGATAAAGAAAGATTTTGGATACTTAGGAGAGAATTAGGTTTGACCAACCTACCTTGACTTAGTGTTTAAAATAATTTTAGCACTTTTAATTAGTTTTTAAAAATGCTTATAAAAATAATATTTTTGATTGCATTCTTTGCTAATAGTTAGGGGGAGTTTATGATTCTTTAGTGAAAATTAATTATATGTTCAAATAAAATTTAATGATAGATTGGATTGATTGAACATTGATATTTTTCGATTTATGAGAGTCCAATACCATTGAGCTAATTAATTTAGCATTTTGAGCGTTTAAAAACTGGAGTTTTGACATTTTGTGCAAAGTGGATCGATACACTATCAAATTGTACCGATGCATTCCTTGAATGTGTGTCGATGCACTATGTAAGTGCACCGATGCATTCCTTGAATGTGTATCGATACACTCTGTACTGTACCAATACACTCATCGGGTTTTATGCTTAAAATCCCTAAAAATCACATTTAGCCAAATACCCAAACTAAAAAACTCTCCCGCCGTTTTGCTCCTCTCAACCCCTACTCTCCATTCTTGCTCCAATCAACGATTTCAAGTCGGAATCTTCTTGTTTTTCAACTTCTAAATCTGCTTGCATCAACAAAAACGTACAAACATCATCTAATATCACTCAAATCCGAAAATCTTCAAAGTATTTTTCTAAAACTACTATGTTATTAATTTTGAACTTAGGACTAGTTTTAATTAATTATAGGTTGAATTAGTTATCGGGCATTACTTACATTATGTTTCTAAACTAGATTCTACAACTAATTTCATCCAAAACACACAATTTTGTCAAAATCTTTTTAAATTTCGAAATTAAAAAAAATATGTTTTAATTTTAAAATTATTGTTTTTGATTTAATTATGTTGTTTTCATGAAAAAGATATGTATACTTTTTTTTCAAACATTGTTTTTAAAAAAATCTCTCATTAGGATTCGGTTTAGAGAACCTTGAATATTGCAGACTCATATTGAGTTTTGGGATTGATTAAATTGCATACATGTGTTTCAAATTTGCAAGTAACCTTACCCATTCCAATTTTTAACCATGTCTAATCCAATACACCCTAAGTCGTCATCTAGTCGTTCAAACCAAAAACGACCTCCTACTCCACCTCCACCTCAAAATCCAAACCCAAACGCTCTCGAAATGACCATTCTTAATTCTTTCTTTAACCAACTTGGTCATCATCGAGAAGATCTCTACCAAGGTTTGTTAATTCATTTCAGTCATAGAAAATCCGGGAAGAACGTATCCCCTCTATCCAAGCAATGGTCGATATGAATTTTGAATATCTTCCTACCCTCTATTCTTGGAAATTTGATAAATTGTTTGAGCTCCAGCCCATTGTTTATCACCAATTGGTCCACATTTTCTATTTTAATGCAGCTTGTGTTCAAAACGAGCATCGAACTAAAACTATAGGAATTCAATCCTATCTCTTAGGTTAATTCGTTTATATCGACTCTGACACAATCACTAATACTTTTGGGTTAGATAACATGGGTCTAGATAATGAACGAGAAATGGTAGCTACTCCTTATAAAGCCAAAGCAAGTGCAAGTACTTTACGGACTTATCACGAGAGATTTTTTCATCTAATAATCTCTTGGTGGTTTCGACCATCCGGAGGTAGATTTTCTAGGCTTAGAGTACTAGACATTTGGTGGATACATTGTATCCAAAATAATAAGAAAATAAATCTGCCACAAATTATCTTTGGTGAGCTTGTAGAAACCGTGAACAATGTCCCGTCCAAACATGTCGAAACCTTAGTTTACGATTGTCTCCTTAGTAATTTGTTTATCAAAATCGGGCTTCAGGTCTCGCTTGACGTAGGCATCCGGATGTTTGAACTTGAATGTTTATTTATATATATTTGATTTTGGTTATTTCAATGGCTTGAATTTAATGTTTATATTGGTTTATATTAATTTTTGCATTATTTAGAATATGACCAATTATCATTGCATATTATTTATGAATATTGATTTATGAAACTAATGGCTAATCTTTCTCTTGACTATGATCTTAGCAGCTTAAGCTAAATATCAATTGGCTGATTTTCTTATAAACTTGTTTAAAAACGTTTTATAGAGTCTTTTTGATTTAATAAAAAGGGGGAGAAAAAAGTAAGGGGGATTAATTTTCAAAATTGATTTCAAAAATGATTTTTGAAAGAAAATATTAAAATTACTTAAATGTTTTGTTATATAAAAAAGGGGGAGATTGTTGAAAACATTTTGATGTTTCGTTATAACAAATTAAGTGTTATTGAATTTTAAGATTTTATAATCATTTTTGAAGTATATTCGAATATCAAAAATATTACTCCAAGTTTTCAAAGGTCATTTTCAATCCTTAATTAAGTGTAAAATTGTGTTTGAAACATAAAATATTTTGAAACAATTTTACAAAGTATTTTGAACCTTAATCGAGCCAAAAATATATTTTACAAAGGGATGTATCGATACACTCTTTAGTGTATCAATGCACACCCAACATCGAACCTATTTTGTGTACCGATCCACAACAATGCATCGATCCACTCATGGATTTATTGAAACATCGAATGCAATTAGTGTACCGATGCACTTGGAGTGTACTGATACACTAGTTCTTATAACGGTCGAAATATTTGAATTTTACACGCAGTGTACCTATACACCCTTGAGAGTGTACTGATACACTCACGCTCCCACCAGATTTTTAAATTATAATTATACCATAACGGCTCTATTGACTTCATCAATGATCCCCAACGTTTAGAAGTGAATGAAGGTGTATTTAAACAAGCTGAGGAGCCAATGATCAACAACAATTGTGAGAGAAACAAAGAGAAAGCCTTAAACATCAAGTTTGAGCAATTCAAGCCTATTTTCATTCAATATTCATTTTTTTTCTTTCAAGAACACTACTTGTACTCAATTGTATTCATTCTTGAGTGTTCTTTCTTTGTTCTAGAATTGTGCAAACATCTTGCCTAGTGAGGTTTTTTCTGTAAGTTTGTGAAATTTGTATTGTTCTCTTTGGGAGAGAGTGTTCTCGAGAATTTGGGGTATAATTCTTGAGGGATTTGTAAGGTTGCCCTTTCTCCTCAAAAGAAAAATAGATTGGTGAATTTGTGGAAAATCCTTAGTGTGGATAGCTAATGTAGTGGACGTAGACTTTGGTTGAGAAAGTCGAACCACTCTAAATCGATGTGCAAATATTTTCTATTTTCTGCAAAAGCTTCCACCAAATGTTTTTATTGCCAATTCACCCCGTCTTGGCTATTTCGTCGATTGATTAACTCAACAATAATTTGAACCCTTTTCCTTTTATTTCCTAAAATATTGATAAAAGGAAAAAAGTAAAAATTTAAAATATAACTTTAGGGAAAAAATGTTTTCTTATAGAAATACTTGTTATAATTTTACAAATTTTAAAAACTTCTGCTTATCATGATTTTGCTAAATATGAAAACACTTTATTGTGTTAGAAATCAATAGCTAGAAGTAACTTGAAATTAAATAATTAATTAATTATCAAAAATAAAACCGTAAAAAATATCAAATTAATTACTTCTAACAATAGCTAGAAGTAAACTCATGTATGAATTTCATGTAGGGGTGAGTAAAACTCAATTTGACTTGAAAAATCGATCTTTTCGATTCAAAAAAAAATTTCAAATTCGAGTCAAAATAGAACATAAATAATTCAAATAATAACTTGAACCAAAGGCTGCAAATTTTGTATTATTGGCTTTTCCGACTACAATTATAGGAACCATAAATTTCCAGAAGCATTCCACCAAGGGAAAAAATTGAATTATTATGTGTATGTAACCCTTAACAGTAGGGTTCATAACAATGGCTTCACATATAATAAGACATGACCAATAACAACAAAATACTAATAGTTCCTACCTTTAGTATGGTGTCTCGTTGGTTTTGGTTGTCGGTTGTCGGATTGTAACTCTTTGAGTTGTAGATTTTACCGAGTTGTGTTGTACTCTTTTTCTCCATATAAGTTTAGGGAGGTTTTTAACGAGACATACAACTTTAGTTTTGGGATCATTCAAGTACTGAAGACATCAAGCTCTATAAAGCAAAATTCAAATATAAAAACCACACCATAAATTTCACAAATGCACTAAAACAACCAAAAACAAATAGAAACCTAAACAAACTTGTCATCATCAACTTCCATATATATAAAATCACATGAAATCATAACTCTTTTGAATGTAGTTCCATATCCATCTTTGTCGTTGATGTCAATTTGATGTGCCTCCGGAGTCATCGTATTATACGTTCCTCAGGCTCTGATCTTCCATTCAATGGAACCAAACTCTCAACATAAGCAATAATGTGCATTGGTCCATGATAAGTATGAATACAAAGATTTTAAAGCTCTCATATGTAAGGGTACAACATAACTAGTTCATGATTCGAGCTCTCAAGAATTAATTCGTCATTTTTCCAAAACCACAAAGGCCTCTCACCTCCATGGACAGATTCAACACTAAATTGTTTAGTCCATGACCCAATCATAACCCATAAATCAAAAATATTTTGAGCTTCTTTCCTCGGTTAAACAATAGCACCAAGCAATCCATTGAAGTCTAAAAGTTGGAAATCATATTATGCTAAATCCCTACCAATTTCAAGCAATGATAAAGTTGAAAACTTTTCACTGATCATATCAAATGAAAGAATAACGTTATCAAAATAATCATTTTATCTTTTAGTTTCTTAGACCTTTGATATTTTATGTCTTCGTAACATTCTAGTTTTTATTACAATTCTAACCCTCTAAATAGTAACTAAGTAAAGCACATAATCATAAACAGTTAAAACATAATATTATCTCTCTTGCATTGTTATTTTTCTCTTTTGTCCTTACTACAAATCATATAGTTTTATAACATGTTATAAGCACGATCTCGGTCAATTATATTAATCATCGTTTGACAATTTTATACAAATATTTTAATATGATATTAAAGATTGCATCTACTACCTATTCAATTTAACTTGAAAAATCTGATATATTTCGTTTAATTTTCTATTAAATTAGGTTCAAATTTATGATTTTGTTTTGATCTAATTCCCATTAAGAGATTGATCCATTAAAATGAAAAGCTATGATATTATTAATGATTCTAAATATAGATGAAAATCATTTAAGGATAATATTAATATATCTTTCGAAAATATTTGAAATTCAGTAGAAGAGTAAGATATTATTTTAATAATCTAATCCGATTTTTTTGGATAATTCAGATCGAATATCCAGTTAGAAAATTGGATATGGATAGAAAAAAAATTCCGTTTTAGATTATCCGAATATCCAAAAAATAATGGGAAGTTGCTGAAGAATGTTGCATATAAGCAAGAAGTGCCATGGTTTCCCATCTAAAATAGCGATGTTAATGCTCAGTTATTGATGTCATCATCTTCTTTTTAAGAAAACAGATCTTCTTCATCTTCAGATTCATCAAACCATCATCAATGGTTTTAACTATTCGAGCCGAGAATGATTGTAGTTAATATGTACCGACTCCATCTTGTGAAAGTGGAAGAACAATGCATGAATACTGCAGAAGAATGGTGTAATTTCTTTTCAGTGGACCACCCTCCATCTCTTCAATAGTATTTCACGGGAAAGTAAAAAGAATTAAAGTCTTGAAAACCCCATCAAATGCAACAACGTATCTGGCTTTAGCACTTTGTTAAAAAAATATGCGCACAAGGCCTGGTTACCGTCAAAGATAATCGAAGCCACACACCGCTGGATAGCAACATAATAAGTGATATATTTGGTTTGGATATCCGAAAATTCGAATATACGGTTATTCCAGATCAGATTCGGATTACAATTTTAGTGATCCAAAAATTCGGATGCGGATCTTTGCACACCCCTGATATTAAGATCTAGACATCTTCATTTTGGATATACAATAATATTTAACAATATGAAAAAAAAAGTAAAGTTATGGAGGAATTGGGTGAGCACCAGTTTCCTACTGTGGAGCGAGAGATGGAAGTTTAGGTTCTTCATATTCGACCAATGTAGTAGCTGTGTACAGGGTTCATAACTGTGGTTTCACGAGCATACCAACAACAACGGTAATAGTTACTATATTCAACTTCAAATTTCATTCAAGTATGGGAGACATCTAGCTCTCTGAAGGACAATTCAAGTATGGGACTCAGGAGGCCGTCGTATTATACGTTCCTCATGCTCTGATCTTCCATTCAATGGAACCAAGCTCTCAACACAAGCAATAATGTGCATTGTTTCCTGATAAGCGTGAATACCAAGATTTCTAAGATTTTGTATGGAGGGATCAAATAAAACTAGTTCCTTCCATAAATCAAAAGACTTATTTGTCCATGATCCATTCATAACCCATAAATCAAAAGACTTATTAGTTCCTTCTCTTGGATAAAAAATAGCACCAAGCAATCCATTGAAGTCCAAAAGCTGCAAATAGTATTGTGCTAAAGTATCTCCAAATTCAGGTAGTGGTAAAGTTGAAAACTATTCATTGACCATATCGATCGAAAGAATAAGGTCATCACTCATCAGAATCCCCAACTGCCTCCCTATAACTCAACTTGAATCACTTTTAAGGGAATATAACTCGACTTGGTTGTTCCAATCTTCCATCAACCCTTCAACTAGATTCTCTTCAAAGTAATTAGTAACAAATCTTACAACTTTGAAGTCATCAGTTTGAGAATCATACCCATAACCAAGGAAGACAAATCTAGTGGAATCTACTACATGAGGTTCTACAAGTGCTCTTTCAATACATATATTTTGCTTCGAGAAATAGTTCTCAACTTTGTTTTATGTTTTCCCATTAAAGATTTAACAAGAAGTATAAATTAATGCACCTGCAATGAGACGGATATGAATATTTTTAGAGAAATACAGATCTAACTAACATGCCAAACCTTCTTTTATTATGCAGTCATGTGATGTATAATACAAGGCTTATCTTGTTTCAACAAAACTATCAAACCAATGAGCACCAATCTGTCCAAAATCTCAACAGGTATCCTGTAAGGGCTATTCAATTCTGTAGGTATCCCGTATCCTGTGTTCGTACATTTCGAATATAGATACGAGAATATGATCCTATAAGGACCCTCCAACGACATGACAAAACTATCAAAATACTCATATTCGACACTCACATCCAAGCACGAAAAACCTAAAACAAGACCTTTGCAAGATTACAATCCATTTACCTCCAAAACAAATAACTAAGGTTCAGAATGAAAATCATCACACACAATAAGGTATGGAATTCCAACTCTTAAATTGGAAAAACAAACATGCAAAACCAAGCTAACTCTTTATAAGCACAAACAGAAGCTCATGTGAATTATCATATATATGCAGAAAAAAGACAACAATTTCCAGAAATATTCCACAAAGGAAACGCTTTCGAGAAAGTAGTGCTAACCCATTTACCCCTGCAAATACCCTTAACAATGGCTTCACACAAAACAAGACCAAACCATTGACACTGTTTCATTGGATCGAAAGTACATATAATAATAATAATAGTTCCTATGTTCAACTTCAAATTACATTCAACTATTGGGGACGTTGAGCTCTCAGAAGAAAATTCAAGTACGAAGAGCACTCCGTGTGTGGCATATATATGCACCTGCAATCATGATATGCAGGTCAATAGAACTGTAGATCAGAGTTAAAACCTAAGAAAATCTGTAGGACGTAATTTCGTGCATCCACTAAAACAACCAAAAGCAAACAGAAACCTAAACAAGTCAATATCTAGGGCATGTATATACAATTCAAACAATAATAACAATACTTGAGAACATCACTAGACAATATAGTTGACATAAAGTGCATAGGAAGAGATCAAATCCCACTAAATCTTACCTCTTTGTGTTCAACATCAATTTGGTTCACCTCCGGCTGGTCGTCGTATTATACATTCCTCATGCTCTGATCTTCCATTCAATGAAACCAAGCTCTCAACATAAGCAGTAATGTGCATTGTTTCCTGATAAGCGTGAATACCAAAATTTCTAAGCTCTTGTATGGAGGGATCAAATAAAACTAGTTCTTGATCCGAGCTTTTGAGAAACAACTCGCCATTTTCCAAAACACAAAGGAAATAGAACCAAACAATCGATTGAAGCCCAAAAGTTCCAAATAATATTGTTCTAAACTCCCACCAAATTTGGGCAACGGTGAAGTTGAAAACTTTTCATTAACCATATTAAACGAAAGAATAAGGTTATCGATTGCAACTGACTGGCAATAAATAAACCCATTGACATAATTATTAAACAAAGTAGAAGGAAAACCATCAACCCCAGGAAATGAAAGTTCCTTCCATGAATTGCTTTTAAGTGAATATAACTCAACTTGTCTGGTCCAATCTGCGATCAACTGTTCATCTACATTCTCTTCAAAGTAATAAGTAACAAATCTTACAACTTTGAAGTCATCGATTTGAGAATCATACCCAAATCCAAGGCAATTAAAACTAGAGAATTCCTGTAGTCCAGGAGGGTTTTGGACTGTGGGTTGAGGAAGGATTTTAAACTTTCTGGTAGATGGGTTCCAAAGGGGGACATTATGTCCAACTACTCGCTCTGCTAAACAAAATATTTCGCTACAAGGGCCACGAACTAAATGTACATGCACAAAATTATCGAAAAAGGGTAAGTGAATATTATGTTTTACTCTAAAGTTTTGGTCTTTCTCAGTCGAAAGTTGAGAGAAATAATGGATGTCATCACGGGTGTCACCATGACAATGTTTGAGGAGTAGATTAAGGTTATTGTTTTTATGGTTGTTCTGATGATGTTTGGTAATGAAATGAGGGGTTTCAAAGGATGAAGACCAGGGCTTACAAACGCACCTGAAACGGGTCAAGGATTTAACAGGAAGCTTTGAGAGAATATCCAACACCAACATCTCTTGTAATTCAGTTCTAGTTTTGATCCGTTGTATCTTCCCTCTTTATCTTCTCTATTTCCTTTGTGTTTTTCAATAGATGATTTTATTTGGGGGAAAGAAGATGAGAACTAATATGAAAGAAAAGGTAGACACACAAAACTTATGACAGGTAACATCAAACGTTTTCTGTAGCAAGAAAACTACAATGAAAACTGATCATTGGTTGCACTACTTTGATGGGCCAGGTTGAACCCTTTTAAAACCCATTAATTTATCATAGACAGGGTTTGCACAATATTAAATATATACAATATATTAGTAATTTAAAATAATTAAAATAATATATTTAATAATAATATATCTATAATAATTTATTATATTTTAAATGATTAAAATAATCTATTTTATAATAATTTGCTACATTTTTTAATATTAAAGAATATATTTTATCATTATAAAAAAAACCTCTAAAACTTTATATATGTTATAAATATAAATAAATTAACAATGTATATAGGGTCGGGTCGGATCAGTGATATTTTGCATGAAATATACTCTCACCCTGACACGAAGTTATATATTTATATAACTTGTCATTCCATAAACCGTTGTAATATTAAATATTATTAAGAATTTTACTAAGGGTAAATTCTCCTAGTAATATCTTACGTTTTTTGATCTGTTTAGTTTTTGTCTCAGGTTTAAACAGTTTTTGGTTTTGGTCACTTTTATTTTTGGTCCTTATTGTTAGTAAAAATGGTTAAATTTTAATTTGACCTCTGAATTTATACAAAATATTAATTTGACATTAAATTTTACATAAAATAGTAATCTAACTCTTAAAATCTATATAAAAATGAATTGACCCATAAATTCAGTCAAAGTTAACGTCTCTACTAGCCACTTATTGTCGTCGTCGCGCACCATCATTTTTCATCACCAGTCATCGTCGTCGGTTGTCATGTCAGCATGCGATGCCATGTAAGCTTGATACTTCATCTTCATACGTTGATTGTTTGTTGACTAGCGATTTTCATCCACATAGGATCTCCTTTTTCCCAAATGAATTGTTAGAGGTTAAAGTGTTTGTCTATATATATATATTAGGGTTCAATTAAACTATGTAATATTTGTTATTTTTCACATATTTAGTATTGTTAAATGATTGAAAATAGAATACTAAGATTAACATTAGAAAATGAGAAGATATTCAATGAAAAATAAAGAATTAATCTCATTTAACTATCTCTACTCATCCCATAGTCCTAAATCTGTATTTAAATAAAAATGTTTTATACTATATAAATGGATCATAATATATATATATATACACTTGAAACCCTAAATTTTGTGATTTCAAGATTAATAGGGTTGTTGAATGATAATTAAATTATCACAAATTCAATCATCCGAAACCTCTAGCCTCATGTTTTCCCCCTAAATCCCTTCAGTTCAATATTGAAAGCAATAACAATACTACTCAACAATTTAATTCTCAATCCTAGTCAACAATTTAATAAAACAACACCAATCATCATCAATTTCAGTTTGAGATTCATGTTAGATGCAACAATCATGCATATTTGAGGGAGTTAAAATTTCATTTTATTAGAATTAAAAATGTTTGTAAATGAACTAAGTGAACGCGAACAAAAATATGTTCATGTTTGTTCATTTAACTTTAACTGAACATGAACAACTAAATAAATGAAATTTTTATTAAATTTTATATGTAAATTTGATCTGACCTATTTTAATTTGTGAATAATAAATTTTATTAAATCTATAAATTCATTTAAGATTTTTATTATTGTTACTTATTCTATTCATTTTGTTCATGAAAGTTAAGGGATAAATCATACTATCTATAAGGCAAAAGCCCATAATTGCATCATTTTCCTCATTCCAAACCTTTTATGGTCAATTTGATCCACGTGAATTTCTTTGTCTCCAAGATCCACGTGTTTTTATATATGTTATGTTAATGTTCAAGTTGATGACTAGGATGATGGAAGGACTTAATTGGAACGATATTAGTACTTTGATAAGTAAATTAGAACATTTAAAATTTAGGGACCAATTCAAAATATGATACATAATTTAGGAATGTATAATGCAAATAACATAAGTATTAATTTTACAGTCTCTACTCATTCTCAATTTCTAACATTGAGGTTTTTTAATGATCTCTATTTTTTACATTTATAATCGAGAGTTCCTGATTTGGATTATTTTTTTATATAATTATTAAAGTAATAAATTTTACTTTCATTTTATATAGTCTAGATTAAATACGTTATTTAATCAAAACAAATATTTTATTCAAAGATTTATTTAATTATCATCTAATTTGATACGATAAATTTAATATAAAAGGCTTGATTATTTTTAGAAAATACTTTATAAAAGTAGGTATACTAATTTCGGGTTGATTAAGATTAAATTAACATAAGAAAGTATATGTCATTATCAATATTATTTTTTTTTACTTCCTCTTCTTTAAGGTTAATGTTCTTTTTCATTAGTGCATGCTGATGAAGATACACGAGGAAAATTAAATAAAACTATCAAGGAATGGTTTGATTTAATTCGATATATTATTTTATTATTTATTATTCTTATAATTTAAACACTTTTATATTTTTAAATTTAATTTTATTATTTATTACAGATATCTTTACTGCAACCTTTATTCAAAGTTTTTACATAG